GGCTTTAACAAAGAGAAGTTTATTCTCTCACAGTCCAGTAGGCTACAAGTCCAAATTTAGGGCGTCAGCTTCAAGGGAACGCCTTCTCTGGAGGAAGGTCCATGTCATCAATCTTCCCTTAGTCTGGGAGTTTCTCTGCACAGGATGCGCTCTGTTCCCAGCACTGGTTTCTTGGTGGTATGAGGTTCCCATGTGTCTCTGCTTGTTTCTCTCTTTTATATCTCAGAAGAGATTGGCTTAAGACACTATCCAATCTTGTAGACCTCATCAGTATAACTGCTGCTAATGCATCTTATTATGTCACAGTGATAGAGTTTACAACATATAAGGAAATCACATCAGATTACAAAATAGTATACACAATCATACAACACTGGCAATCATGACCCAGTCAAGTTGACAGATATTTTTGGGGGACACAATTCAATCCATGACAGGCATATATGTGCAGCAAAAAAATAATATGTTGAATCGGTAACTTTCATACTTACAGAGAACAATCAGTTCACTGCAATCAATACATTTTTTTAAAAAACACATGAACTAAAGCATGTAGAAGAAACAAAGAAACCTTTTAAAGCGCTACTGAAAAACACAAAGGGTGTAAACAAGTGGAAGTACATGTGAATAGATGGAAATACATACCATGGCTCTGCATAGGAAGACTCCTTATCATTAAGATGTCAATTTTTTCTAAATAAATTTATAAATGTAAGGTAAGTTCAATCAAAATCATAACAGGCTCTTTTTTGGAGGTGGAGGAATAGGACAAGAAAGAAAATTAAATTTAAAGTACATTTGGAAAAACAATTGCCAGGAGAGCTTTGAAAATGAAGAGCAATGAGAAGGGACTAGCTCCACCAGACATTAAAGCATTTCATAAAGCTTCCATAATGAGAAATAGTGCAGTCCTGGCTATCCAGGAGCTACAAAGGAAAACAATGATAATTAACTACATAAAAAGCACAAACTTCTGTACGTCAAAAAAAAATTATAAAGTCAAAGATCAAATGACAAATCAAGGAAAAAAATCATACCAGAAAGATTAATCCTTATGTATAAATAGTTCTTAGAACATAATAAAAAGAATCACAATCCAAATATGGGAAAATGATGGAAACACACAGTTGACAGAAAATGTAAATGGTCTTTAGCTGTATAAAAAGATGTTCAACCTCACTCAAAAGAAAAGAAATGTAAATTAAAATTATATTGAGCTGCCATTTTTCATCTATCAGATTAGCGAAATCCCAAAAGTCTAACATTATGTTTTGAAGGAAAGACAAAATTGCTCACGAGAGCACAAATTGGTACAATTGCTACACAGGGTAATTCGGTAACATCTATCAAATTACCGAGAAATACACACATTTGATCCAGCAATTCCATTTCTGGAAATTCAACCTACAGATTAGTTGTATGTGTTTAAGACAAGGTTAATCACATCAGCGCTATTTGAAAAAAATCCAAAATATTATCAGTAGTAGACTGGTCAATTAAATGATGATACATCCATTCAATGAGTACCACAAAGCTTTTAAAAATAATAATAATGTAGAAAAGTCTTTAAGATATATTGTTAAATAAATAAGGTAAGTTTCATATCTGCTTATACTGTATGCTATAATTAAGTAAAAGGTGAAGATAAATGGGAATATGTATTATACATATCTAAATATATATACACTTACATTTGCTGAAGGAAACTCTGAAAAGAAAACAGGATACTAAGAAAAATGTTTATCTAGCAGGGACATGGGAGAGGGGGAAGGAGGAATGGAGAAAGGAAGGGAATGAAACTTTTCACACGTACTTTTCAGTTTGAAAACTTATAGGTTTTTTAAACTTTATAAGGTCGCTATGAGTCGGAATCAACTCGATGGCAATGGGTATGAAAATAACTAATGATATAGGATGTTTTAAACACAAAAGCAATGAAAAAAATCAAAAGAAAAAACTGATCAATTTTACTACCTAGAAACGTAAAGCCTTTAAACATTAACAATGTTGTAAATAAGATTCAAAGCCGGTTAAACACGGAAACATCATCCTCATGAAAAAAACTGAAGAAATGAAAACTAAATGATGAGATGTATATCACATATGCAAAATATTTTTGACCTCCTATTAAAATAATTTCTGAGTTACAAGAATATTGCAATAATAGCACAAGGAATTTCTGTGTACTCATAATTCATATTCTCTAAAAGTTAGTATTTTGCAATGTTTTTCTTATCATTCATACTCTCAACAGATAGAATACTTTTCTGAAATGTTTAAGCTAGGCTGTCGACATGATGCCTCTTTACCTCTAGACCCTTCAGTGAGTAATTCCTAAAACCAAAGACATTCTCTGACGTCAGTACAATTAACTAAATTAGGAAATTAACAATGACGCATCGCTATTATCTACTCTACAAACCTTTTGCCCTCGATCTCGTTCAGGATCCAATCTCAAATCACATGTTGCTTTTAGATATTATATATTTTTAATCTCCTTTAATCTGGAATCGTTTTTCAACCTTTCTTTGTTTTTCATGACCTTGACACTTCTGAAGAGTTAAAAAAAAGAAAACCAAACCAATTGCCAGTCAAAGCAAGTCCTACTCACAGTGACCCATGTGTTTCAGAGTAGAATTGACTCTGCAGGGTTTTCAGTGGCTGTGATCCTCCAGAAGTAGATCACCAGGCCTTTCTTATGAGGTGCCCGCCTCTGGGTGGGTTCAAACCACTAACCTTGGTTAGTAGCCAAGTGTACAGACCAGTAATTTGTAAAATGTCCTTCGATTTGGGTTTGCCTCATGTTTTATAGATTAGACTCAGGTTATGCATTTTTGGCAGGAATACCATGGAAGTGGTATTGTGTGCTTCTCCAGTACATTATATTAGGAGGCACGTAATGTCAATTTGTGCCATTACAAGTGTCCCGTTACAACTTTGAGCAATTGTTTAAAGTTGTGTCTTCCAGGTTCCTCCACTGTAAAGACACTTTTTTCCCATATGGAGAGATAATATGGAGTCCCTGGGTGGCACAAACAGTTAGTTGCTTGACTATAACCAAAAAGATGGTGGTTTGAACCTACCCAGAAATGCCTCAGAAGAAAGGCCTGCAATCTGCTTCCAAAAGGGCACAGCCTTGAAAACCCTACAGAGTGCAGTTTTACTCTGCAATATATGAGGTCACCATGAGTCGCAATCAACTGGTTTATTTGGGTTGGGAAGATACTTTGACTATGTAAATATTTTATTTCTCATTCAAAAAAGACAAAATTATTTTAATGATGGTATCCCATTCTGTCAAGAGCAGTCTCACAGGGAAGGTGAATTGTTACAAAATTTCTGGGAATCAATTTAACACTATCCATCAAAGTTTTTAAACCCTTTAACACAGCAAATTCACTGTAGGAAGTGAGGCTAAAAGAAAATCAAAAGTATAGTTAAAGATTTCTATTCAAGAATATTTATAACAGTGTTATTTATAGCAGTAAAAAGTAGAAACTACCTAAATATCTAATAACAGAAAAATGACTAAATTACAGTATATCCATAAGAGATTATATTTTATAAGCAACTAAAATGAAGTTTTTAAAGATGGACAAAAGCTAGAAAAACCCTAGAACCAACAAGTGCTCTGCATTTTATTTCTTTCAACCCATTCGGCCCTTCCCAATATTCCATTTAGACTCAGTATCAGTCTAAACTCAAGAAGCCAATACTCAATCTCTATTTCTCATCCAGTTTCATTGTCCTGATCCACAGCTTCTTCATGGCCTTCTTCACTTCAGCATTTCTCAGGGAGTAGATGATAGGGTTGAGGAGAGCAGTGATAACTGTGTAGAACACAGCCACCATCTTGTCCACAGACAAAGTGGTGGAAGGTCTCACATAGATGAAGATACAGGGCCCAAAAAATAAGATAACCACAGTAATACGGGACCCACAGGTGGAGAGGGCCTTTCGCCACTCCTCAGAACTTCGGGTCCTCAGATGGAGCAAGATAACCACATAGGAGGCTAAGAGAACCACAAAGCTGATCACAGACGGAGTCCCCCCGTTGGCAACCATCAGCAGACCAATGAGGAAGGTGTCAGAGCAGGCAAGTTTGAGCAGAGGAAGCAGGTCACAGAAATAGTGGTTGATCACATTGGGGTCACAGAAGTGCAAGTGGAAGATGAGAAAGATTTGAGCAAAGGAATGCACAAAGCCCCCCAACCATGCTATTCCCACCAGAACAGCACACACTTGCTGGTTCATGGTGGTGGTATAGTTGAGGGGCTTGCAGATGGCCACATAGCGGTCATAGGCCATCACAGTGAGCAGGAAAATCTCAGTGCCACCAAAGAAGTGGATGAAAAAAAGGTGTGTCATGCAGCCCCACAGAGATATGGCTTTCCTTTCAGCCAGCAAGTCAGAGATAAGTTTAGGGGCTGTGGTAGAGGATTAGCAGATCTCCACAAAGACAGGCAACTGAGGAAGAAGTACATGGGAGAAGCAAGACTTCTGCTGGTCATGACAGTGAGCACAGTGAGGAAATTCCCCAACACAATCGCCATGTACAAGAGCAGAAATATCACAAAACAAACTCTCTGCACCTCCGGATTGGGAGAAAGTCCCAGAAAAATGAATTCAGTCACATTGTGTGTGTCAGCCATGAAGTCACCACTGGGAGGTAGTAGTTTGACTGGGGTGATCTGAAATGATACAAAACAAGAGACTCCTTCATTGAGATGAGTGGGTGAATTATCTAACAATCCTTTGCATATATTAGAAGCTTGTGATGTCAAACGATTAGTAGGAGTTAGTTATGTGTAGAAGACGAGAAGAGCAGTCTAAGAAGGCAGAAGAGCAAGTGCTAATCTGTGAAAATGTATCATGTGTGGCTGGAGTAAAGGGGAGAATAGCAAAAGATAAAGTTGGAGACAGTCTGGGATGAGTTTATGAAGGGCTGCTATGGACTTTTGAGTATATCCTGTAGATAATGTGAAATCATTGGGAATGCTAGTCCACTGGAAAGTAAAATCACTTTGTAGGTAAAGATTGGACTAATGGAAACAGACCAGAAAAGGGGAAGCCTATTAGTAGGTTAATGCGTCATCGTACCATGTGGGGCAGCCAGGACAGCATTCTGTGTCCATTTTAGATGTCTTTCTTTGAATGTTTTTAATTGCCTACTGTCCACAGTTTTCACTGATCTTCCTTCCCTTTGCTTCCTTGGTGCACAGAATAGCATTCTTGATATTCATTGGTCCCTCTTACCTCTGCCTCTCCTCCTAATTCTCTCCTTCTACTCTTGGCTACTTGATGACTTTTCCCCTTCCAAGGGTCTAACTCAATTCCTACACAATTCTTCTTCTTATTGGCACCTTCATATCATCCATACATATGCCACTCAGTAGCAACAAATGTCCAAGCCACTCCCCCAGTGCCCACACATGCCCTGACACATCCTTTCCCACAGCCCAGCCTTCCAGACACCTCCGGACATCACCATGAGTGCTCACTGATTGATTTGCAGACCATCTGGTCCGTGCTGGACTTTCAAGGTAGCTCGTACAAGGTGGTTAATGTCTCTGTGTATCAGCATAGATGCTTGTACAATGACTCCAGGCAGACCTAAGACCGGGACCCAGATGGCTTTCACTAATAGCACAAGCTTTCTTCCTTCAGTGATGGGGACGGACTCAGGTGATTAAGCACCATAAGCCAGAAGGGAATCACTAGTAGAGTTTATAATTACAGAGATGAAGAGTGAGGGCAGAGACCAGCCCTAAACTCCCAGGTCAACAGGGAAATTTTATCAAGAAGCCGCCGAAGGAAGAAAACACTTATAGGAGTCTGGAATCCTGGGTTCACATCCAGAGTTCTTCAGGTAATAGCTATGTGACATCTAGAAAGGGACTTAAACTCTCAGAGTCCCAGGGTCCTCCCTGTAAGATGCAGATAATAATATCTACCTCACAGGTTAATGTCCTAAATCCTACTCCCAGTCCCATCCCAGGATGTTAGTATCCCAGCCTCCATAGTGTCTTGGATTCCTCTCAAAGATGGGAAATCCATCTCCCCCAATCCACAGGCCCATATTTCTCTTCCCTCAGGGCATTTTGGAATCACAGCACTTACCACACTGAATTATTATTGTTTTATGTGGTCATCTGCCCCACTGAACTGTGAGCTTCCTGAGGGCAGAGATATATCTTATCACCCCATAACCTACTGAAGTGTCTGTCACAAGAGCATTCAGAAAATGTAGATAAGGAGTCCCTGGGTGGTGCAAGCAGTTACTGTGCTTGGCCTCTAACCAAAAGGTTAGAGGTTTGAGTCCACCCAGAGACCCCTCAGAAGGAGGTCCTTTCAATCTACTTCTGAAAAATCAGCCATTGAAAACCCTATGGAGCACAGCACTGCTCTGACACACACAGGGTGGTCATGAGTCAGAATCAACTCGGCAACTGATAATGCAGATAAAGTGAATGAATTAATAGATGAACAGTGGATATATATCTTCCTAACCTTCTTGGCACAGTACTAAGTACATTGCACATGTTCATTAAATACTGAAGGAACAAAGCTTCCCCCAGGATCAAGAATGTGTCTTGTCTAGTCCTGAATCTTGGTGCCTAGCACTGTGCTTTCCTCCACTAGGTGCTCAGTCAATATGAGAGCACTTTGTAAAATACCATGTGCTCCTTGCCACATTCCTTTTGCTTTCACAGTGGAATAATAATCGTCACGTGCAAAAGGAGCACATGGTCACAAAACAAAAAACTCATGCCAGTGTCTTCATGGCTTTGCTCTTCTCACCAGTTTCTTTTCTCTTCTGACCACAGATGTGCAAATGATGCTCTGAGAACAGCTCCCACCCAGGTTCACCCAGGTTCCCCAGTGAGCCAATCGAGAACCATCAAACTGAGATAACTGTCTTGCCAGAGTCACAAGGCTGAGAATCGGCTTCCCCTGCAGCCTCAGACTTAGGATACTGAAGCTAAGCCACTGGGGTTTCAGTTCCATCTGATCTAAAACAAGAGCAAAGGAGACTTCCCTCCCCTCTGCTTCACCACTGTTCCATAAAAAACTAAGAACACTACAGTTTAGCCTAGAGTTGAAACTTCTCCAGAGACACCAGGGGAGATGTTACGATGATTAAGTGAGAGAAGGTTGGTCCCCAGAGAGCTGTACCCTTTTCCCCTTCCTAATCAGGCAACCTTCCTCATGAGAAGCAGGGCCTGGTTACTAAAATCTCAAACTTCCTTGTAGGGAGCAACCACTTCAGAAATAAACAGAACATATGAGCAAATTAAATTCACCCAATGTTCACAGGGCACTTCCTCTGTATGGGGCTCCATGCTCTTCAGAGATTAATTAGATGTAACTCCTGCTTATCATGAGCTCAATCATGTGTCTTTATATGAAATGACACTACTCAAAAGGGTTCATACAAGGAATAGGGACTACAAGGGTCAGGAAACCAAAATAGTACTTCTTGCCTTTGGTGTGGACAAGGGCATAAATCAGTAGTTCTTAACTGGGTGCAATTTGCCCCCAGGAGACATCTAGGAATGTCTAGAGATATTTTCAGTTGTCACAACCTGACCTGAGGTGGGAAAGAGGGGAGGAGTGGGCATGTAGGTGCTATTGGCATGTAGTGGATAAAGGCCAGGGATACTGTAAAACATCCTACGATGCACAGGACAGTCCCCACAGCAAAGAATTATCTGACCCAAAATGTCAGTAGTGCTGCAGTTGAGATGCCCTGTATGGATGAAACAAAATTCACCCTGAAGTGATAATCATTAAAACTGGGTGTTGAATACATGGGAGTGCATTGCACTGCTCTGACCATATGTGAACATTTTTTATAAAAAAAAGTTTTATTAAATGCATAAGAGACCTCTGTAAAATGCAACACTACACCAGTTGTTACCAAAAAATGTTGATTAAGCCTTGATTAGAATTGGAGTTGCAACAAGATTGCCAGAAGTGTCAACTAATGACTAGTTGTTGTTGTCGTTGTTGTTAGGTGCCATGGAGTCGTTTCCAAATCATAGCAACCCTAAATACAACAGAATGAAACATTGCCCAGTCCTGCGCCATCCTCATGATCGTTGTTCTGCTCCAGCCCATTGTTGCAGCCACTGGGTCAATCCAGCTCGATTTTAAGTCTGCTTAATCTCTCACATCAGTATGGCTACACCTGCTGTTTTTTATTTACTGATTGCATGGAATGTTTTTCACCATCTTTTTATTTTCAGTCTGTTTGTGTCCTTATGTCTAAGGTGTGTTTCTTGTAGACAGTTAAAGTTTGGATCATGTTTTGTTTTGTTTTTATTTGATTTTTTATCCATTCTGCCACTCTCTGCCTTTTGCATGGGGCATTTAGACCATTTCCATTTAAGCTTATTACTGGAAACAAAGTGTCTGCCTCACTCATTTTCCTATTTGTTTTTTGAGTGTTTTGTATCTTCTTTTTTTATTTTGATTTTTTCTGTTTCTGTTTGTATTTGTCTGCTTCCTTGTGATGAGCCTTTTTGCCCTCTTCCTTCTTTTCTCCTGAATGTTTTTTCTCAGTGATTTTTTAGTGGTTACCACATATATTACACAACTTACAATTGCAACATTTAACCTATAAACAACAGTTAACATACAACCTTAACATAATAAATCTATTCCTGATATGCTCCTCCCTCCCCCATTTCTGTTGTTGTGTCTTCATTAACATCAATATACAAGTTATATTCAATAAGTTTTCTTTATTTATTTCTTACAAACTTGATGCTGTATTGTTGTATTGTTTGTGGGATTTAATTATTGAGTTTATTCCTTGAAAATATCCTGTACTTGGTCCTTATGATTGTCCATGTTACTGTGTTTTTTGGAGAACACCCCTCTCTTATTTTTTATTTATCCCCTCTCTGCCCCCAGGTATAGATATGATTATTTATTTAATGCTCTTGCCTTTCCATTTGAAATATTCTCTTGAGTAATACTTGCAAAGCTGGTCTGGCGGTGGCAAATTGCCAGAGCTTCTGTTTGAAAAATTGTCTTGATTTCCCTCTCATTTCTGAATGACAACTTAGCTGAGTAAAGAACTCTCAGTTGGTGATTTTTTAGGGCAGTATTTCATATATGTTCCTCCATTGTCTTCTATCCTCTAGAGTTTCAGGTGAGAAATCCACACTGATTCTTAAGAAAGACCCTTGGTACGTTATATTGCTATGTTCTAGCTGCTTTCAGAATTCTCTCCCTTTCTTTGGTTTTCAAGAATTTTATCAGGATTTGGTGCAGAGCTGATCTTTTTATATTTCTTATAATTGGAGTTTGTGTGGCTTCCTGTATTTGCAGGCTTGGTTCTCTGTTCAGGTCTGAAAAATTATCTCTGATTATCTCTTGAAAAATTATTTCTATGCTTTCATTATTGTCACAGTGCTCTGGGATTGCAATAACTCTAATCTTATGTTTCTTAATTGAATCCCATATTTCCATTTGGGTTTGTTCGCTTTTCATTTTCTTTTCTCTTGTTCCTCTTTTCAGACTTGAAAAGTTCAGTTATTTTGTCTTCAAGTTCATTTATCCTATCTTCTGTCTGTTCAACTGTATTGTTGAATGTTTCTCTTGCTTTTTCTAATTCAGTTGCTTTTTTCTTCAATTCCAGTAG